AGGCTCCCGAGTCCAGCTGAGCGCCAGGGAGGCCCCTCCGGTTTCTCACCTGGTGTCTGGCCACACCTTGTTAAAGGGGCAGCGCACAGGGCAGGGTGCGCGCTAGAAGGAACACGGAGGGACGCGGCGGCCTGGGGACCCCAGCCAGCAGGTCCTGAGACCCGAAGAGCAGAAGGCGCGGACATGCAGTCTTCCCAGGCCCGTGGGTTTGTCCTAAATCTCCAGCGCATCCACGCTCCCCACCCCCGCCTCCCCCAAAGGCGCGCCCCTTAGAACCTGGAAGTGTTGTTCGTGTTGTCACCCGCCCGGTCCCAGAGGCTGAGTTCTACTGGGGCCTGCGGTGAGGCGACAAAGAGGCAGAGGCTTTTTAAACCTTGAAGGTCAGCTCTAAAAAGGCCCTCGGGGAGCGCTCTTAAGCAACCCCGCCTTTTACCCACCGGGACACTGAGGCCCAGGAGACAGTGACGTTCCCTGAGGACAGACGGTAAAGTGAAAGGGATCCAGATGAGAACCAAAGAAGTATTTAATCCCGCAGTCTGCGAAGACCTGGCTAAGCAAGGACATTTAGATTCAAAGAGAGAGGGAGGAAATCACCAGCTTTGAAAAGACACCATATGAAATTAATTTCCCAGACGAGAGGGAGGGGACGGTCAAGAGAAAACGCACCCCAGGCCCGGCCCACCACTATTCCTCCAACACTCATGGTGTTGATAACGCTGGCCCGGCCAGAGGGAGGCCAAGCAAGGAGTTCAACTCTCGCCGGCCTTTCCTGCTGCCTCTGCAGCAGCTCCACAGAGATCGCTTTTCTTCGGGAGGGGAAAAAGAAAAAGAAAAAAAGAAAAACACAAAAAAACACAACACACAGTTAACCACCTGTCAGGGCTGAGGATACAATGAAGCTCCTGGAAAAAGAGCTTTTCATGCATGCGTAATATATTTGTTCAGCCATTCACTTAATGAAGCTGATAAATGTGATAGGAGACAATAGTCAAGTTAATCTATTTAGTAAAATGTTTTGAGACTCTCGGGCTACGTTAAGGAGGGGAGCGGTAGGCGACATTTTCATTTAAATGCGCTCCTCCCCCTCTTAGGTTGCACAAGGGGGTTCGGGGCAATCTATGTGAATATAATTTCTTATAAATGTGTCTTTAATGGGTTTAATTCACCCCTGCCAGCTGTTTTGGGGGCTATTTTGTAAGAGCAAAACAAACGTCTCAGGCTTGGAAAGCTAGTTAAAATTAGTTTCGGTCAGCGAGGCCAAGCTATATTTCCTGCAAACCATCTGCTTGATTGGCACAATAGAAGGATTTTCAAGGAAAAAGAGGGGAGTGAGTGTGAAAGAGATGGGGGGTGCGGGGGAGGGGGACCTTCGAAAGGACTGGCGCTCCTAGTGGCCTATTCTAAAGGTGAACCCCTTAGAGTTGTCTTAATAGAAAGGCTCGCCCAGAGGGGCAGGGGCGGTAGGATGGCCCTTTCAGCCACAGCCTCGCCGCCCTCCTCCTTCCCCTCTCCGGTCAGCTCCCTTTTTTCCTCCCGGACCGAGGAGCCGGACGGCGGGCGCTTTTCCCTGCCGCCGCCTGGCGTCCGGCCAATCTGACAAAGCGCACTGTACGTCTGCTGGCCGCTCCAGCGAAGAGCACCCAGGCGAAGGTGTCGGAAGCCTGCAAAGAGCAGCTTTAGGCTCTCAGTCTTCCCGAAAGGGACGCTCGCCACCTTTTTTGGAGGGCCAGGAAGTTCATGCCAGTCACTGGATTGCAGCGCCCTTGCGGGGCCCACGTAGGAGAGATCAGCGCGGCTGTGTTGCGGGCAGCCTCTGGGGCCTGGACGTGCCTGCAGGAGAGGGGTGGGAGGGAGGGAACCCTAAAGGGACTCCCAGGATCCCTTCCTACTGTACCCGGGAAGCTTCGGTGCTCTCGTCTTGGTTTCCTAGGCTGGGAGAGTCTGTGCATGATCTGTGGAGGCCTCCCCTGCGATGAGTCCCTTCTACAGCATAGGCGAGGACCTCAAACCAGGACCTCCATTTCTCTCTTCCCCTCCCATCTTCTTTCCCTTGGAAAACAAATGGACCAGTCCACTCTTGGGTTAAAAACAATACCGCGAATGATATCTCCAAAATAAATTTGAAAATAACGACATTACAAATGAATGGCAACACGCGCACAAACCCGTGGGTTCAAGTCATGCCGCGTTAGTCACAGGTCAGCCACAGCGCTGAGCCACACAGCCCTTTTGGGCTACCGCAGAGTTTGCAAAGACGTGTTCAAGATCACTTATAGTAAGATCCTTTCGTCTGATTTCTTGCTTCCTTGGGTTTCAGGGGCTGCTAGCCTTTGCCTCCGCTCACGGGTTCCTTCTTGGCGCTTTAGAAATTCTTTAGGAGGCTGGGGATACAGACTGCAGGAAGCGGGGTCCTCGTGGGTCTCAGCAAGGAGTTGACCCATCTTCCAAAAAATGCCAGCGGCGCCTTTTAAAAGCAGAGAAGTTTGCCACAGCTAGTCTATAGTGGACAAAATGGCCCGAGTGCCTGGGGGGTGGAGTGGGAATGGAGCGTGTCAATGGGGCAGGATAATAACTGTAAAAACTACATCCTGGGAAATGCCCCAGCGGGGATGGGGGTGGGGGGAGGCCTAGGGAAGGGGGCGCTAGGAGGGGCCCAAGCTGGCTCCCAGTCTGTTCTCCCACCCACTGCCCAGCACCAAACCACACCTAAGCAGATTTCTGCAACTATTGACTCGATTTTGATTATCCGGAAGACTGGGCAAGCGCTTTGTTGACTGGAATGGAACACCTGTAGCACTCGCGAGTCCTTCTGGGAACTGGCAACTGCACAGGCCTTCTGACTGGGAGAAGCTGCTGGGAAGGGGTAGGAGAGGCAGAGTCAAAGAGAGGGAGAAGGAGAGGTGGGGGGAGAGTAGACGGGTGGGCAGACAGACTGGCAGGTGGGGTAAGACAAGGGGGAGGGAGGGAGAGTCTGGCCTATTGCAGTGGAAAACTCTCCCGGCAAGTTAAAAGCAGGTGTTCAGATAGTTTATCATTTTTACAGCAAACCTTCATAAAAAAAGGAACTTTTGATGTTCTTCAACGGATCTTCCTCTTTATTTCTAGGGGCCTCCCAATAACTCCAACAATGCATTTCCCAATTTTAAACAGCACCTAGAAGTGAGTCCTTTCCTGATCGATTTTCAACTTCCTTTCCAGCCTGCTGCCCAGTCCTCCTCCATGAGCAAGCCTGGGCTCAGAAACTCCGCATTTACATCACCTTCAAGCCTTAATTCTCCTCCAGAGCCCGGCCCTAAATAACTTTTTAATTTGAATCAAGGGAGAGCTTTAGTGGGCTCCGGTCCTGGTCTAATGTGATATAAATCGCAGATGCACTTTTATTGAATGGTTAAAGCAGCGACATGGAGATCAACACAAAACGCCCTGAACAAAACCATCGAGAGAAATAAAGCTGGTTAATAAGATTTTTGAGAAAGCTTTGTGTTAAAAAGCAAAAAGGAAAACCAGCTGAAGGTGACAGTTAGTTCATGGTTAATGGGATCAGGGCGGCCTGGCGGGGCTGCACACGTCTCTTTTGGGAGGTTCAGCCACAGTAAAGAAATGAATGGGACATTTAACACATCTGTTATCTCGCCGAGCGGAGAACCAGGAAAATCAAGGCTCCGTGCCACCTTGGCGTCAGCCCACAGGAAAGTGAAGGGACTGTCTCCAGGAAGATTCTCCTTTGAGGCTTCAAGATAAGGAGAGGCTTTCCTGATGGGAACCACGTTTTTCCTCCGGTTTTCGCCCAATTTGTATGTTGCAGTTAATTTCTGAACACTGCAAAAGCTTGGCCAAGTTAAGCACCTGGCCTCGGTAGGGCTCTCACCAGGCCTTTGGACCTGAGCTACTATGGCTTAACACCTCCGGCTGTGAGTTTCAACTCAAACTGCCCAGAGCTTCTTGAAGTTGGAAAACAGCCAGCCAGCGCAGCACTCACAGCGCTAGGTTGTCTTCCGGCTGGGCAAGCCCTTCACAAGGGGAATCCCACCTCCGGATCGATCCCAGCAGTGCTTGCCTCTGCGCCTCCCCACCGTGAGCTGCAGAGAGCTCTCTGCAGATACTCCTAGAGAAACTTAGCTGGAAATCGTTTTTCCAAGTGGCTTCGGGTTTGCAGGCGACCTGGTTCACTGCTCAGGTATTCACCAACTCAGCCTGTCTCCGGAAACGAAGGCCTCCCTCCGCGGGCCTAGCCAAGCATCTATTCCCAAGCC